ATGCATACTCTTACATCTAACGCATGGTTCCCTGGTACAGATCCAGCAGTGGCAGATGTAGTTAAGAGGTTCCTGCTCTTTTTTGTTAGAGGGGTGCTGTTCTTCAGCTGTGCCAATTTTCAAAGGTACACGAAGCCACGCTTTCTAATAGAAGCAAGACAATAAAGATTGTGCTTAAAAGCATGTGATGTGTGGGTTCTTTTAGACACATCATTTCATGAATCTGTTTGTGTGTGGCCGGAGCTGAAGGAGTGCCACCTCCAGTGAGAGCCAAGGAAGAGTGGCAAGAAGCAGGGTGGAGCCTTATAAAAATGGGCACAAGTGGAACTGTAACATGTAGCCACAGTCTTTCTCTTGTACAGGCTAGTTGCGCAGGATTTACAAGCATTATTTCTGCCACATTTACGGCTTTGTTCTTAAAGGAAGGGGATCTCCAGTAAGGAACTGAATACAAAGGAGAGAGAAAATACTTGAAGTGAGAATACACAGAAGAATAGCAATTGTTTCTTATGGTCAGGATATTAAAGGCTGTCTTTCAAATACATCTTACAAACTTAGTTAGGTTTTTACTATTTTTTTATTATCCTTTATGATTTTCTGAGTCAGGGAATGTGTTTACTGATGAACTATGAATATCAGTATTATAATCACTTAGTTTTGATTTTTGTTAATTATTTGAAGGAGACACGTAAACAACATGTCAGCTGTCTCCAGATGTAATTAATTTCGATCTTAGAAGGCAAAAATAACACAGGCAGCCCAGAAAGGGATGGAGGGAAAAAAAGCCTGGTAGGTGCCTCAGCACCCCACAGCCAAGGACCAGTTATTAAAACCCAGGCTCAGACAAGAGCCCAGATTGCCAGCAAGTTCCTGGTGAGCAGTCAACTCTGAGGACAAGCTGAGAAGTCAAATCAGCAAGTCAAAGGCCACATCAGTGGGGTATATGGGCCAGTCTCCAGTATAGCCTAGGCAAAGAATCTGAGTCTTCTTACAGCTTTTGTGCACATATCTTCATTGCTGTTGATTAGAGAGCTGCACTGTATTGGGGAGAGAGGTGTGCGCTCATCTCTGGGGGGGGGAAGAGCTGCAGACTCCAGAGAAAAGTGGAAAGGTGGCAGCAGAACAGCTGGGCAAGCAGAAATCAGCGCAAATGATCGGGAACAGAGGAGTGGTGGGCAGCGGTGTTTAGCCATGAGATAGAGATGGAAATTACAAGCTGCCTTCAGTCCCAAGTTACAGAGCAAAGTTACCTCATGATGGCTGGAGAGTCTAATGCATGAAGAATGCAGGAGAGAATTGCATTTTCCTCTAATCCTCATTATCCATATTTCTGTGGAGGTATTATTTACACTGACTTACCCAGATTTGTCAGAGCATCTTGCAGAGGTCCATTACCTTTGCAGGGAGTAGACAAGCACATATCTGTGTGACAAACGAGTTCTAAGAACTTAACCTCTTTTTACCACTGTGGTTGCTACCTTGTCTCCCACTCAGTTATCTATCTGTAGGCTGTTCCAACTGCTGCTGTTTGTTTCAACTATGTAAAAGTAGATCTGTGAGCACTGTATGCACTTCTTGTGCCTTATAACTTCACTAAATCTGTGATATCTCTGACCACTACCACAACAGGCCTCCTGACAGGCAGTTCATCTCTCCTATAGACTGCTTGGACTTACCCTCTTCCCCAAAAGTCACTCAGGAACAGACTTAAGACTGGATGAGTTACTCTGATAATGGCAACCCACATCATTTACCTGTCCTGCTGCCCTTTCTTCTTCACATTGCACACTGTCCTTGTCTACTCACTGCAGAAGTAATGGACCTGTGCCAGCTGCTGTGCCAGAGTAAGCTATTCTGTCCACTCACAAATTTTCGTAATGAAAAGCCATCTGGGATGAAGTGCATGCCTGTGCTAGAAGCAGCCCTCTCCTGCTCTCCTTCTGTGAAGCAGGTGAAGATGTACGCCTGCTGTTATAGCATGTTTATCTGCAAAAAAAAAAAAGACATTTCTGGGATGTGTCAGCTTTTCCGCATGAGCACAAACCGAAATTACAGTTAATTTGTTGACATGGTAGAGAAAAGGTGGTAATATATGACTACTTCTAGAAAAACCTTTTCAGCTGCAGAGTTTGGATAGCATTTCTTGAAATTCTTTTCAGCCCAGTTTTCAGGTATTTTTGTTTGTTATGCTTTCTTTTTGGTTTTGATTCTGATGTAGAAAATGAAAGAGACATATGTCACTTTTAAAAACATAGTATTTTAACGGCTAGCCTTTGATCAATTAGTCGTTACCCTAATTTGCTTTCCATTGATGTGTATACCATTGCAATCAAAGGAGCAAGGATGTTGAAACATGTTAACTTGTTACATTAAGCCAATCTGTGTCTGATTAGAGAGCAGGTTATGGCTCAATTGTCTAAAGATCTCTTGCTCTCTACAGAAGTTTATGGTTGCTAAAGTGGAACTAAACCAAAGCAAATTCTTCCCCTTCTCCCTTTTACCCCACCTCCAAAGAAGAAAAACTTAAAAATGGTTGGGCTGGAGGTAAAACCTCTGAAGCAAAGAGCAAAATGGAATGCATGAGTGATAGTGATGCACTGTTCTGGGCATAAGGTAGTGGATGGACCTCTGCTTGTCCATTATGGTGTAATGTCCTAGTAGAGTAAAACCCCAGAAGTTCATAATCCACATTATCAGAAGCAAATGTTTCTTTATACCTAGAAAGGAGTATCAAGAAGGTTTATAATTATCCTCAGAATCTGTATAAATAGGGCTTTTGGTGTTGTGCTTCTGTTGGGAATCAGGTTCTGGCTCAGCTGTTCGCTCACAGTGTGATTTTTTGGCTCCTTGGCTTGCTTATTGTGGTATGCAACTAGCGCTGGAGCTCTGCTGGGGCATCAGGTGCTGTGGAAGGGCAGATGGGTGTGCTCTGATTTTGATTCTTTAAACAAGATCTTCTCTAAAGCTAATCCTCAGTGATTATAATAACTAGTTTGCTCCCTTGGCAAAATAGGATTATGGCACAGAGATCAGGTTGTATTAAAGAAGTTAATCTGTTTCTGTATGAAGAAACTGTAGTGCTGGAAAACTGTACTGTTTTGTATTTTTTTTCCTGTGATCTTTCCTGGGTGACATTTTTTGTCTTGCTAATACATGTCACCTCACACTAATTCTGTATGAGGGGTGTAATCTGTAAAATAATGAAAATATTACTTAGAAAATCAAGATATTTATATAAAAATATTATTTTTTTTTTACAATATAAGGGCAATATTGATTCTTCCTCAAAAGTATTTAGCAATGGTCACATTAAGGTGAAGTGCTGGAAGCATAAGGGTTTCAATCACTGCCTGTATACAAAATTAAGTACAGGCAACTCAGTGACTATTGTCCATCCATTTTTTAGTCCTTTCTTGACAGAACATCTGTCATGAGCAAGACTGTAGTGGAATTCCACTGTTCAATCTTTGAATTTGTTTCTAAGAAGTAATGTGGCCAACATGCATGCCAGCACTGACGATAACATTAAACAGAAGTTACTAAATTCTTTCAGTCTAAAACATAGAATGTTTTATCAGACTGTGTGAACTTTTCACTATTACCTCAGGTTGGATTGTAGCTTTTTACCCTGTGACTTATTCACAGCCTTGTGTCTTTGGCCAAGCAATAACTTGGCACCCAGTAACTTCCTGCCTCTCCGTGAGTGAAAAGTCAGCATAGTGCAGAAGTTTCAGTGTTACTAGTTTTTGTGATTTTGATGCAGATTGAGCAATGTTATGTGTTAGGAGTTTGTATATCCATGGCAGCAGCTGTTTTATTGAGAACCTCAAATTGCTTAAAGATAGTAAGTTTCTAGCCACCTTAGCTGCAGAAAAGTTTCAAAACATGCACAGAATATGTACAAAATATAGAGTATTTAGAGAGAAATACACACAATTCTTTGTATTTAAATAAACCTCATGGATTGTGGAGGCAGACCCATGACCTTTGAGCACTTGTGGCTGACAGTACTGGCTTGCAGGCGTCTTAACCTTTCTGCTGGCTTTCACATGCATGCCATTTCTACTGAGTTAGAGATCTGTGTGGTTTTGGTTACAAAAGCTTTTCCACTGTGATAGCTTTCCTTTGGGTCTGGTTTAAGCTTGCTTGTGTTCATTTATGACCCAAACATATTCCTTTTCTCCATCTGAAAATTCCTTTTGAAATTATCATTAAAACCCTCTGGGAATTTTTTATTCTGTTTTAGACATTATAAAATATGTACTTAAGTGCAAATCTGTACTTAAGTCCTGTGTTGCTTGTCTTAAGTGTTTGTGTTCTTTTTAAAAAACACTCCTCTACATACTGCAAAGATGAAGTCTTAAATTTTCCTCGGTAGAAGTCTGTTAGGAGCTGGGTGAGAGCTGGCAGAGTTGTTCGACTGCAAGCGCTTTAAAAACACAGGTTTCATGTTGCAGTCGCTGTAACCTAGTCTTCCATGGGACTCTTTGTCGCTAGTAATGTTTGCACTTGTCAAACGGAACAAAACAGAATAGGAGAGGAGGCTGTAAGCACCTAAAAAAGTAGGTCAATGGGCCAGGAGGTTATTTGGCCAGACAAGAACGAGTGGCTTCATTGAATCATGCTGTAATTGTTTTTCTCCTGTTGGCAGATTGTTTTGCTGTGCTTTAACTTTTTATGTTAATATTCGCGTCTCTATTTTAACCACTTAGGAGCCTCTGTTAGGTGCAGGGAGAGGAGAAAATTAACTTTTCTAATCAGTTTCTAATTCTGGTGTTTTCTATACAATCCATTAATGAATTTAAGAGTAGCATAGGCTTAATATTTTAGATCCCAGCTTCACTTTTAAAGTTTAATATGCTTTAAAATATTTTTTTCAGAAGGGGTACAGGTACATTTTGTAGTGAATATATTTGATTTTAAGAACAGTAAGCAAGACAAATAGATACGGGATAAAAATGAGAGAAAAAAATAATTTCATGAAACTTAAAAATGTTAAAAGAAACATGGTTCAAGGGAAGAAACTATAAATGAAATCTGATGATATAATGAAAGCTGGTGATCACTTATGCTGAGATTTTAATGGAAGAACTGCATTTGTGAAGCACGTTTGGAAGACATTCTTGAAAGTGTTTTTGAAGTGGGTTTTGAAAGAAAGGGTTAATGCCTGTGTCTGAGGGAGTAGCAATAATGCAGCTGGGCAACTTTGCTATAGTTGCCAGCAGCAGCATTCTATACATTCTGGAGTCCTGAGAGTGGCAATTCTGGAGTCTTAAAGAGAGAAGATGTAAGTGAGAAAGCCAGGAGAGACTGAAGTAAGAGTTTCAGCAGAAAAAGTGTTTAATAATGGTGTGAAGATATACTTCGAAGGTAGCAAGTGCAGATGGTGTGTAATTTCAAAAGATAATAATGAAGATAGGCATAAAGCGGTAGCTTAAAGCAGAGGTGAAATTGTGTCAGGAGAAGAGCTTTAAAGCAAGCTGAATTTGGATAGTGAAATGTTTGGGATATTTTTGATAAGCAAAATACTCAGTTTATAAATTACTCTTGTTGGAATGATTGCTTCTGTGTAAGAACTTGCTGATTTTTAAAACTCTCCTTTTTTGTTGTTTTGTTTTTTTTTTACTGTTCAGAATTTAATGCTTTTCTGCAGAAGAGGAGAGCAGCTAACTCCACACTGTGCTTCAAAGGAACCAGGTTTCACCCCTAAACCTCACACTTTAACAACTTCTGAAGTGTAAAAGGTAAAATTGTATTCTTATAATTAATAAGGTTCCTATGGGTTTCAGCTATCAACACTAAAGGGCTGAGTAGCAGTGTTAAGTAATGTCTTTTGTTCTCTAGAACATGATTGAATTAGATCTTAGAAATGGACATAGTCCTTGATTTCTGTAGTGTCTGCTTTAAATGTCACTGGTTTCATTGGAATTATTTCTGTAGTCATATCCATTGGCATGTATAAGAGCTAAGAATGTTCAGCACCTTGCAAATTTGGATGCAAAGGCAGAAGGATCTCAGACCTTGCAAACTGAGAAACAAATGCACTACATTTCCTGTAGTCGTTTAAGTTCTAGTAACTACTTGTCTTGCATACCAAATCAAAGTTGCCAGTTCTGACATAGAATATATATTTTGTATGTGTATGTATGCTGTAACAAGTGAATCATTTTGTTGAATTCTAGAAACTTGAGTGCTTTATTAGAGTAAAAATACTGACTTTTAGATTCTGATTCTGCATAATGAAGATGTTGGTTATGTCACAGGTGAAAGTTTTCTGTATTTAGCTGTACATGTCTTTTGCTTATTAAGGGAACAATATATCATTTGTTTATAAATTTCATATTACTCTTGATCCCTATAATGTTAGGTACCCAATTTGTTTAAAAATTAACACAGGTCTAAAAGTGTAATTAGTGCATACCTGTATTAGTGCATACTATATAAGCTACATGAAAACAGGTTTCTGTTTGTTCCCTTGATTTTAAACTTAGCTCCATGCCAGTGATGTTAGTTTGCTTTTACTGGTGTTCAACCTGTCTGTTGTTGTGTGCTTTTGACAAAAATTCAAACAAACACTTCATAATTTACTTTCCTTGTGCCTTCTGGCTGATTTTCAAATAGTGCAACTCCACTACTTCATAAAACTTTGCCAACTAATTTGGGGGATTTAATTTGTCAGTATGGCCAGTGCAATTGTTAATGTGAAGAATTGGAATGAAAGAATCGTTTGCTTCCAGTGTTTCTTCAGAGCACTAGATTTTGAAGAAAAAAGGCAAGACAAAGTTGGGTTGTATTAATTAAAATGGGTAAGATGTCTTATGGAGCATTTGGGCAAAACCTCGTGCACACCTTGTAATGTACCTTGTAGAGAGATTATGCTGCAGTCCAGCTCTTCCATTTAATTTCCTGCTGCACTCAAATTATGAAACTTTGTGGGGAAAAATACCAGTCTTGTGACGCAAACCTGCATAGTGTGTGACTGTTGTAGACTGAGACAGTTTGGTTGAAACATAAGCTTTTGTCCTCAGTTTCCCCATATATTAAAAAAAACGGGGTAAGATTTTCCTGGAACATTTTGCAGACTATCTGGATCATGGAGTTGCTGCCACATTCCTTGTGTTAACACTGCAAGCTCCACTGGATTTGGGACTCTCAGATACAAACAGATCTTTCCTTCTCAGAAACTATGAGTCACTGAAGTGACTAAAACCACCTCCTTTGAAATAAGCGCAATGCCTTTTTACTATTAGGTTTATAGCATAGTAAAAATTTCCAAAGATCTGCATGTTCAGCTGGTATAAAGCTTGCTGTGTGCAGTTGTTCTTTAATCACTGACAATGATCTTGCTGCTCCATTTGAGCAGCCTCTGACAGCTGACTTTTCTATACCAAAGAAAAGGGTTTAATTGTGTTGGTTTATGTTTGACTTCCAGCCTTTCTGTAACCTTTGTAATTTTGGGGTACCTAAAAGTAGGTACTTGTTGAATTAAATACTTCTGTTAATTTTATACTCCTTTTCACTATGAAAAGTTCATTCACGTTCTTGATTCAAAATCATTTGTACAGCTGGAAAACCAAAAACTTCCTGCTGAAACTTCGTAATGAGTAAGTAACTTCTCTAAGAAAGGGCCAGGCTACCTAACTCTCTCACAGTATGGAAATCTCAATCTAGTGTTGATTTCAAATGTCTATTATAGCAGTGTGCTCAAGAAAAAAAAAAGTAATAAATTATAGCTGTAAAATACTGTATCCCAGATGCTTTCTGTTTGCACAGTGTCTAAATAAAATGTATTACTACTGAGGTTTGTATTTTACATCTGTTCAATGTTCAACATTATGACATTCTTTAGGTAAAAGTTAAAATGAAAAGTTGTATCTGATTTCAGAGCCAGAAAAAGGTTTGTATTGGTTTAGTCCAGACTTATTTATTGTGGTATTTAATAAAACAATGTTCTCTTGGACTCCCTCTCATGTAAAACAAGATATCAAAGTCCAGGTTATGATGGTAATGGAGACTACTTTAGAGAAGGTAGGAGGGCAGAGCAGAAGGTTGGAAGAGAGGGTAAGAGCAGCTTATAAGGCAAGTGAAAACATCAGTATGCTCTAATGAAGAACATGGTTGTTCCTTCAGAGTCACATCTTGATATTTATTTTTTTTTCTCTTATAGGCAAACGTACAAATGTCTACCACAAGACTAAAGTGTGCTATGTTATGTTTTTTACCATAAGCACCCATAAAATGAGCTCCATTGCAGACAGGTATGTTAATAAATACTGAGAGTTTTGGGGAAATTATTCTTTAATGCTTTCTTTGATAACCTTTTTATTACACTTAATATATAAAGAATATTAATTTATGCAAAAGATAGAGTAGGTGTTTTTGACAAAGTTATTTTGATAGTTGTTAGACGTGTTGTAGTCATTGGAAATAGTGATTGTTATTGTTTGAGATGGATCTTAATGTATTACTTGTTTTCAGTCATGGAACAAATTGAGCTGATTATTAATGTTTACTTGTTTTTTTTTAGTAATTAAATATTTGATTAAGGATAATAAATACATTTAAACAATTAGTGATGCTGCAGATGATAGTAAGGTGACTCACTCACCTATATCAAGGGAAAAGTAATAGTTGGGAAGTTTTCTACTGGATTCCTTGAGCTGGACTTTCTTAGCAGTTTAGGTGAGCATCTGTCCTTAGTATTCTGTGTAATTCCATTTTTGAGACCTAAGGAAATTAAACTTGCATCAAATTTACAGAAACTTAAACCCAGTTGAAATAAATAACAATAAAAGCATTTATTTCCTTTTGTTTCTTTCAGAAATGATGGAAGCATTTTTGATGGGCTGGTGGAAGAAGATGACAAAGATAAAGCAAAAAGGTAAGTTTTAAAGTTATTTAAAGCTAAGAAATGTCATATACTTTTACACTTGAACTTACCGGGGTGATTTCTAAACAGTAAAAATGTGATTCTTTTGTAAGTAACCATGTTATTCAACAGCATTTCTTTAACTGTCATTATTCAGATGCGCTGTATGTCATATCTGTGGTTCAGTGATTTGTATTTTTGGAATAGGGTGCTTTAATCCAAAGGCTTAGCTGCAAACCTCTATGAGAAGGAGGAAGCCACTCTTCAGAAATGGTGCCTGAGATACAGAGTAGGTGTTTTTGTGACAGTTCTCATAGCAGAAATTTTTAAAGGGCTGTTTGCATCAAGAACCTGGCAGTAATATGGAGCTTATTATAAGAAGGTTTCATAGTTGTTATAAAACATTTTATGTTTTGTTTTTCAGAGTGTCTAGGAACAAGTCTGAAAAGAAACGTCGAGATCAGTTTAATGTACTTATCAAAGAGCTGGGTTCCATGCTTCCAGGTAATGCTCGGAAGATGGATAAATCCACTGTACTGCAGAAGAGCATTGACTTTTTACGGAAGCACAAAGGTAATTATTTGTAATAATAATGAAATATTTGTAAATTTTTATCTTTTTAATACTCAGTGCATAAAACATTCACAATTTTGCAGTTCCTTTAAGGAAATCGTCAGAAAAAAAAAAGTAAGGAGCTTCTCAAGAGTGATATTCTTAAGCTCATAATCTAGGTAGCAGAGATAAAAATACGTTTCGGCTAATTTTATTTTTTCTTGTCTCATGGTTGTCAAAGAAGTATGTTTCATAAATAGAAGCATTTATTTTTTTGAAATAACTTTGAAGGTTTTTGTTCTGGACAGATGGAGCCCTTTAGAATATAATTGCTTTGTAAGGCACAAATAAGTTTTTCTTCACAGGAATACTGCTGATCCGTTTCAGTGGAAGTACTTGCTGGAAGTACTTGTTTTGATATTTAGATAGGATTGGTTTGATATTTATGTGTATTAAAAAAATCCCTGTTCCTGCTCCTACACTTGTTCTTTATATGGCATCTTGTGGTGCCATAAACGGCATCAAAAATTCAAGCAAATGAACTTTACCCATTTGCCTGAGTAATTTCTGAGCATGCATACTCTCTAGAAAGCAGTAGAGACAAAGGAAGCAGCTATAAGGTTATAAATAAAGGAAGTAAAGCTATTAAGTGGATGAATAGGTATGTATTTATCGACAGTATGCATGTCAATTAAGATGCAATAAATATTTTTTCATTCCTTAATATATGTCTTCCATTAGTGTTATGGTTCAAGTAGCATAAAACGTGTCCTGAGTAGTGCCACTAAAAGGGTAAACATAACGATTAAAATAGAGAGGGAAGAATAATTTGTTTGAGATTTGAAAGGTTTAGGATTTTTTTGCCACTTAAAGATTTATAATGCTATTTTAATGTTCTAAGGCCTGTTTGTCTCATAACAAAAATAAATGCAGTGTGAAGGCTCCTTTTTTGTGAAAGTTCTGTAGGTTCAAAGGGCCTTTGTGGAAATCAGTTCTGTTTCAAAATCACTTTTTCTTATATTGATGATTCCTGTCATAAAATACAGAGTGTAGAATGAACACGTGTCAGCCAGCACCTGTCATATTTTTTTACTCAAAGTGCTTTCTAATATAATTTTTTAAATTATTATTTTAATTTTTTTTAGGATAAAGGGGTACAAAACACCTCTGGAGAGGGATGCCTTTTAGGGCATGGCACTTTTGTTCTTCACCTGGTGGGACAGAGTGCAGCTTTGTGTGACTCCCCATATTATATTAATGTCTCTAAAGCTCTGGCTGCAGGTGCTTACTAGCATTGCTCTGCACTGGTTTACATTAAAATGTATTGGACAGAATATTGGCAAGGTCACAAGAATATTTTGCTTTCTGAGGTGCTTGAATCTGTTACAGTAAAGCAGAGTGACCCTAGTAATGAATTAATTGTTCAACACTGATTAGCTATTTTTGTGGAAAATCCTATTGTGTTCAGCCACCAGGTTTTGATTAACTGCATTGCTTCTGCTTCTTTCTGGATCATTTCCACATTGGCCAGACTTGGTAGTCTGGCGATAGCTCCAGATGAACCATCTGAGCAGGTTATTGGCCAGTGTGGATTCTGTTTCTCCTTGGGAGAAAACAGCAGGCTAAGCACACTGAAATTTATATTACTGAGAGCTTCTCCTTGGCTAATACTGCCTATCCTCTTCCTTTGAATTCATAAACAAGGCATTTATGAAAATTATTAAATACTGAAAAACTTAGCTGCTTATAATTAGTGCTAGTAGACTGATATTCATACAGATGAATGCTACAGATCTTGGCAATTTCATTTGAGGATGCTCAAAGCTGATGCAAAGTGGCTTCAGGTCCAAGATTTGAAGACTAGTGTTTACTGTGCAAGTTTGGTTATGCTCATCTGTCTGGTAGCTAGCTTAGGAACGTGACCTCAGTGCCATTTGTCTTTGAATGAAACCTTCTGCCAGAATCTTGAGGCATTTTTCTGAAGTTACCAAATGCAACAAGTTATTTCCATGTTACTTGGGCTCTGTTTTTTCTGTATCATACCTGTTCTAATTACAGGAAATACAAAACAACACCTGTACTTCCAATATGAGAAGTCAAAATGATTTAGTAAATTTGTATGAATTTCAGCTTCTATTTAGTGTAAAACCTTTCTACCATGGAAGTCAGATGAACTTACATGGACCAGAATGAGCCAGTGAATCGCTTTTCCAGTTCTGAAGTGAAGATTATCTCTGTCCTGTGGACTGAATGCATTAAATTCCTTGAATTTTGCCTCTACTTCATTGTCATTTCTGTGTCGTTTGACTTGCCCCTCAGTGTTCAATGTATTTGTTCTGACTGAAAATTTATATTTTGGGTTCTACTTGGGTTATCCTTCTCCAGCCCGCTCTTCCTGCTTTGTGATAACATTTCAAAACAGCTAGCAAAAGCCTGATCAATTTATGTTTTCTTTGAGATCTGATCATTGGAAATTCTGGTGCATCTTCTTTGTTGATGTTTTTTCCTCCCTCCTTGTAGCTCTGCACTTCTTGCCAATTTCTTGCGTGACATTGCTGTTGTTTACAGATCTTTTAGTTTAGTCTAAAGCTCTTCCATTAAGTTTTTCTCCTTCAGTCTGGGAACTGAAATTCTACTCTTCCAGCCCTTTGCATATTTAACTCAATTCGATGTTTTCTGTGCTGTTTGAGCCTGCACTACAGGCATAGTTTGGTTCCTTCAATTTTCTAAATACTTGATTCATGACTTCTTGTTCAAGGTTGTTCTTAACAGCCTGTACCTCTTCTGTAGTGCTGTTGTTCAAAACTGAAGTACTTGGTTCAGAGGAAGCATCAGCTTTCAGAACCTGGGGCCTGGTTTTCCTTAGCAACTATCGTTTCTCTCACCTATGTATGGGAAGTTAATATATGTGTTTCTCAAGTCCTACAGGAATCTCTCTTCAAAATTCATCTCTGTGTATGAATCAGACAGTAATTCTGCAGTGAAGTCTTGTCATACAGCTCATAAGAGTCTTTGTTAAAAACCTACTCTTTTTTTAATGTTTTTTCTTTACACAAAAGAGTGGAAAGAATAAAAAGGACAGTGACCATTTTTAGTGCAAACTTTAGACTGACCAGGATTGGCCAGGATACTTGAGGATTAGGCATTTTAATGACTTAAACTGATCAGGAATTTTGGCTTTCTCAGTCTTTGAAAACAACACTCTCAATAAACCATTTTATTATAGTCTCAGAGGAAAGAGTATTTTTCCATTGTCAAAATCCATTACTTATTGGTATTAACTTCAGCATTACCTTGAAGTCTGGCAGGACTGTAGCACAAACTGGTAGAAGGAAAGAGAAGACAAATTTAATTATGACATGGGGAGAAGACTTTGATTTCCTTTTTAGGGACCAACATCTATATGTAATGAATGAAAAACAGATGAGAACTGAGAACCTTCTGCTATTTCCTGTTCTGTGTATGCTGCTCAGTGGGAAAATAATGGCTTTTGAAAGCGTGAATGCTCATACTGTATATACGTTTGATTGTAGAAATTACTGCGCAGTCAGATGCCAGTGAGATTCGACAGGACTGGAAACCGACATTCCTTAGTAATGAAGAGTTCACACAGTTAATGTTAGAGGTATGTTATTTCTAGTTTTCTGGGAGTAGAACATTTCCTCATGGAGAGTCATTCCATGATGAAATTTTTCAGTTTGATGATATAACTTTTTTTAGTTGTAACTATAAGTTCTCATGAAGATGAGCAGTTAAAAATCCTATGTATGCAATGTAATGCAAAACAGTTTCTCTTCTAACTGCATTTTCAATTGCAGAAAACATGATAACAGAGCAAGTCCACAAATAAACAGAACAATATAAGAATTATTTTTAAGGATGTGAGCTTTAAAATTTCCTATTTAGAATTACAGTTCTGTCATGCTTTTATGTTTGGTAGTGTTCAGCTAAAAGATGCTTGTGTTATGTTCAGTGGAAATAAGCTTGAGTTAAGTAGAAGATAATGCAGTGTGAACTGTATCTCGCAGTTTTCAAGTCTCAATAAAATCTTGCTACAAATTTATTTTGAGATTGGGAATGTTGATTTCACCACCTCTTTTACTTGGTTTTCTCTTAGCTTTTCCATCTTTTCTTGCCTTTTGTCTCTAGCTCATTTTTTCTGACTTCTCTGGTGTTTTAAATGATGATTGAATTAAAAATAACAGGCAGGCAGAGTGGGAGATGGGGGAAACAGTGGCTAGCTGTATATGGACTTACTTCCAAAACCATGGATTATTTAAGAACAGAACCGTATGGGAATTGTAATGCTTGTAGTGTAAAAGCAAGACTAAGAAGTTTTAGTATTGAGAGTCATCTTCAATTTTAAATTAAAATTTAATTTTTTAAAATTTAAAATGTGTTTAAACTTTTTTCTATGTTGAATATAGCTGAACATTTTTAATATGCTCTGTTTCTTTTTATTTAACTACCCATTATGTTTAATTTCAGGCTCTTGATGGTTTTTTTTTAGCAATTATGACAGATGGAAATATAATATATGTGTCTGAAAGTATAACTCCCTTACTTGAACATTTGCCAGTAAGTACAAATCATTTTCGGTAACATATCAATTTGTCTATGGATGCTATTAATTAATCAGTAGGCTTTTTGGTATTATAGGCATTATAGAACAGATGTATGCTTTGTTCTGATGTGTCTGCTTTTTCTTCAGCACAACTCCTTCCTACTGGTCTGTCACCTATATTAAACATTTCCTTTGGAAATAAAGAATGCAGTTGATACTCTATTAGGCGGGTTTAGGAAGTTTCCCTTCAACGTAGCTGAGCAACACAGTGAACTGCAGGAGACCCTGTAGTGTTCACGCCTCTCACAGCCTCTATGTGAGTCAGGCACAGTATTGCTAAAGGAGAGGCCTTGACTCTGTATAAGCACTGCTCAGCAGTAACAAAAACATCCCTGTGTTACCAACACTAGTTTCCAACATAGATTGGAAACATGGCCCCATACCAGCTACCATGATGAAAACGAACTCTTCTCCAACCAAAACCAGCACAATTGTCTCCATAAAATCAATTGCAGTTGGCTACAATTATTGGCAACATAAAAACTTATATGATGTAGTGAGATGCTGTCTTTTGTTAAAAGATACAGTTTCAATGCTGCCAACAGACTACAGTGCTCTAGAGCAACATCCTATAATTTCTAATTAAAACACTCCTTTACTTGGAATTGTTGCATCCCAGAGAGGTTAATACAAGGTTAATCAAGGCTTTGACATGTATGTGTATCTGTAGTATTCACAGTGTTTTTCATTAAATGGTTTTCAGTGTCAAAATAAAGACAGATCAAAGTGATTTTTTTTTTCCTTGCAAAATATTCTTGTGTATTCCAGCAGGTGGCTTTGTTGAGTCACTAATGTTCTTCTGAACTGTGGAACTGTTTTGCACTAACGTAGTAGGTTTTGTGACATTGCTTTGCATTAGTTTAATGCTTATTAAATGTTTTTCTTTCAGTCTGATCTTGTGGATCAGAGTGTATTTAATTTTATCCCAGAGGGGGAACATTCAGAAATTTATAAAATATTGTCTTCTCATCTGCTGGAAGGAGATTCATTGACACCAGAATACTTAAAATGTAAGTAGTTATTGTGGGTTAACCCTTGTAGGCATGTCAGCCCCACACAGCTGATGGGATGAGAATAAGAAGGGTGGAAATGAGAAACGTTGTGGGTGGATATAAAGACGGTTCAATAGGGAAGCAAAAGCCATGTGCACAAGCAAAGCAAAACAAGGAATTAATTTGCTACTTCCCATCACAGGCAGGTGTTCAGCCATTTCTAGGAAAGCAGGGCCTCATCATGTGTAATGATTACTTGGGAAGACAAATTCCATAAGCACAAATAGTTCCCCTTCCTCCTCCTTTCCCCAGTTTTTATTGTTGAGCACAATGTTGTATGGTATGGGATATCCCTTGAGGTCAGCTGTCCCAGCTATGTCTCCTCCCATCTTCTTGTGCACGCCCAGCCTACTCACCAGTGGGGTGAAGAGCAGAAAAAGCCTTAAGTCTGTGTAAGCACTGCTCAACAATAACTAAACATGTCCGTGTTATCAGTGCTGTTTTAGTCACAAATTGAAAACAGCACCGTGTGAGCTGCTAAGAAGAAAATTAACTCTATCCTAGACAAAACCAGTATGGTAGTTGTGCTAAAAATAATCTGCTTTGTATGCCATGTGATCAGTTCTTCCAGTGTTATTTAAGCAGAAACATGGGTGAGCCCTGAAAAACAGAAGCACTTTTTTGTCCCCCTTACCCCTGAAGAGTAGAATTTTCAGCGTTTTTAGTGCATTTCACTCTGACTTTCTTGTGTATTAGAAATGGTCATCTTGTTTATATAGCTTCTATTTGGACAGTTTCAGCAGTTGGTGAGAATAAAAACATGACAGTTTAATGGGTTTTGGAAATGCATGCTTTAGTAAACTTCAGTGTAGGGCAGCTGCTTCTTTAAAATGGCTCTGGTTTTCAGGGTAATCTCTGTGTCATTAGCATTCAAGCCCTTCATTCACACATTCTAAAGGAGTTTTCCTTTAGGTTAGGTAACATCATACTGGTTAAAAGCAGGAGCTGTAGCCATTTGAAATCACAAGACTTAGTCTCTCAATAAGTATGCAGCTTAGTTATGCTGCTTCTCATTTCATGTTGTCTGCGCGCTTCATCAAGCATGTAGCTTATTAATTTGTTTATTCCTTTCTCAGCAAAATATCAACTAGAATTTTGTTGCCATATGCTGCGAGGAACAATAGATCCAAAAGAGCAACCTACATATGAATATGTAAAATTCATAGGAAATTTCAAGTGTTTGAATAATGGTAAGTAATCTCAGCAATGTCAGAGTGAGATTCTTAGGAGCTTCACAGCTAATGAGGCTTGAGACTATTGTGCAAAACTTAATGATGAACTAAAGTCAGTCTTTCAAAATACAGACTTGAAGCAGAGTTATATCACTTCTGTATTGCCTTGAAAAAATTAAAACTGCCCATTGGGTATTGCAGGTCTGTGCATTTGAATGCAAAACGCAGGTAATTATGCTTGATGCTTTTGGTTAAAGAAAACTAAAATCTCGTAAAACTTTTTTTTTTTGTAATGTAAGAGACATTTAAGCAGTGCTTTAAAATCATAATCCATACTTGAGCGGGTGCCTGGCTAACTTGAAGGTCAGTGCTGCTGAGTACCTGCAGTTCTCATTATGCAGTGAGCTGGGAAGTTCACCCCCATTTAAATTCTGTGCTTTCACTGAGAGAAGTTACCACTCAGATGTGGATGGGCCTATACAGTTTTCTGCACTGAGTTCTTTTCCCTTCCACTGAAGTTCTTTGTATTACTTATGTACTAATAATATTCTTCTGTACTATATCTCTAACCTTTTTGACCAGCCTGTGCTGACTGTTTACTCAAAAGGCATGTTTATTTGGTCATCTAGACAAATGGGTTGTGCAGTGTAGTCAGTAGTAGATCTTCATGAAGATACAAAGATCATTTCCCAGAATGCTACCAAACAGTATCTTATAAATTAACATTTGTGGGGCTTTTTTAATATAATACCAATATTTTCTCACAGAATTGTGAGAGGTTAAGTCTTACTGCCAAATGCAGGTATATAATATTATAGGAAATATTGGGGAAATACCCCAGAACAAATAATTATATGTGTGCTTCATGAAACTAGCAAAGAATTAAATAGCAACCATTGTGGATTTTCCAGGGAGAAATAGCTTCAAATCGATTCATTTTCCCCTAGCACACTGTGTGGGTAAGAGGACAAAGGGTAAATAAATGATGGACTTCTTTAATATGCTTTAGACAGTTAACATACTCTGTTCTCACAAACATGTCAGAGAAGCACATGTTAATTGAAATTGCTGGAGAGCAGGTGCAGAAACTGGTGGGAAAGGTTACAAATGTTCACTGTCAAAATGGAGTTCTAATGGACTACTTCTGGATTTGATCAGTATTAATGTTATGAATAATGGTACGTTGTTTGCAGTCTTGAAATGATAGACGAACACTAAAAACAAGATGAGATTTCAGCCCCAAACTTAGAAAATGTGTTATTTTTTGGGAAAAAAACCCCAAACAGCAAGAGACAAATTGAATAAGAACAAATGCAAGTTGCTGTATTTAGGAGTAGCAAACTATATAAACAGGGGAAAAGGTTACAGTCAGCTAGATAGCAGTCATTTAGAAAAATGTGTTATTGTGGAATGTAAACTGAACATGACCAAATCACCATAGGCAATGTGTAAACCCCATAAAATAGTCTCACTGCTCTTCTTGGAACCTGTTTGTCCTCATGTAGTTTTTGATGACTATTTGTCAGGAGTAAGTAAAGGAGTTGGAGAGACTTTAGAGGAGAGCAATGAAAGCAATCAGAAATTTAAAAATCTAGCTTACAAGGCAAGATAAACTTTGAAGAAAAACCAAGAAGGAATAAGTTAGAGAAAGGAAATTACCTGTTTCCTTCAGAAAAGAGCAAGACAGAAAGACAGAGCAAGTAGCTGAAAGCTTAAATTTCGTGAAGAAATTTAAGTAGAAGTTCTAGAGTTGAACTAAAACCAGTTAGGATTGGAAGAGCCTGATGCATTTTGGAGCCACCAGCATTAGAGCCTGGTAAAGGTAAACTAAACTGATACCTGCTGGAAATGAAAAGTAAGGTTACTCTCTTTTGAGGTCTAGTCCATCTTTTGCCCCGCTTATGATTCCATCCATCTCCCTGATTCAATAAGTGGAATTTGTTTGTTGTCAGCTCAGTGTCCTGATTCTGTCACGTGCATCATTGTAGTGCTTTGTTCTGTTACTCAGTATGTCTTCAGTTTGTGTCAATTGAATGTGATGGAAGCCCAGAAAAGAAAAACTTATGTCACGTTCAAAAGAAAAACTTAGCAAAACCTGATACAAAAGCAAAATTGTAAAGATACTTTTGAAGACGGTGTACTTCAGTAATTCTCAGTGGTTACCAAGAAGGATGAGAATTATTATTAGTTTTTTAAAACTGCTTTGTCTGATAATATCATGTTAACTGTAATTTTAGTTCAAGAAAGTTAGTTGTTGGTTGTTTTCCCATTACTGCTGTGTAACTACTATTCCTGTGCATATATGTGTATGGATTATATGTAGCATTTTCTTAATGCACGTTAAATTATAAGCAAACCACATTAGACAAACATTGGGCCATTTGTCTTGTGATATTACTGCCGTTTTCCTCTCTGCTTATGCTGTAATTTGTGTTGACTACTCTGTCTTTCCTCAGTTCCCAACTCAGCGCAAAATGGTTTTGAAGGAACTATTCAGCGATCACACCGGCCTTCATATGAAGACAAAGTTTGCTTTGTAGCCACTGTTAGATTAGCTACACCTCAATTTATCAAGGTATGTACAATTGGAATCACTTTTGTATCAATTTCAGACGGACTCTGAACAAGAAAACTTGAGAAAGAATGCACACAATATTTCAAATATTATTAATCAAAACTAAAGAATTTTATTATATGAAACTGAAAGTGCCTGTGTTTCTTATTTAACATACAAATAGGTTAAATGTTACGCAAAGCATCAAATGAAGTTGTTATGCTGAATGCCATTTCTAAATAGTCATATAAAATAGTAGTATCTAAGAAATAAATTTGGGAATGTGTAGAAATATAACTTAGGAATTTAAAATGAAACGTGACATCGAGATGCCACTTTCACTGGTCTTGTTGTAGTTTGACACAGCAAATCTGGTAGGGCTTAATGAAAGCTTGCATTATTCGTCAGTAACCGAGAGCTGGGTTTGAGTTAATAAAACTCTTTTGTTTCAGTAGTGTTATTCAGTAACGTGGTGTTTAAAGAGAACATGTTGCTTACCTGCTAATGTATAATGAAGTGATCTTTCAAGGTTTAGAATTGGATGTGTATGAAATTTGTACTTTACGAAGGATAATCCCGTTCCGTACCAAAATCAGTCAAAATAAGTACTTAGGATACAGTACAGGAGTCTATGATTCTGATTTAAATTATGTTTCATACAGACATGTTAAGGTACATATATAAGGATAGTCTACTATCTAACATCTGTTCTTGCAATTCAGTTGTAAAGAAATGACATGAAATTTATATGGCACATGGTTAAGCTGTTGTCTGTCATGCTGAACATTTAAATATTCTGCCTGTAAGTTGAATGCACTGGTGTTTTAGGCTGAAGACTGATGGTGGCAGCCTTTGAAGACATAGTCTATATTGCACTTTGAAAACATAGCAGGGAGCCTGTGGAGAAATCATATAAACTTCTTCATTACCATCAGGCTTAGTAGGGACTGGATCTTTCCAGACTGCATGACAGAAAGCATGTTGTTTATTTTTCCTGAAGCTATGGCAATCTTTCATTTGACACTTATCTTCCCATGTGTGTCTAAATAATGTTCTTCCTGTTATGCTTACAGTCTGTAGAGACGTTAAATGTGTGATTTTTTGCTTCATGAAGTACTTGGGGAAGGGGAGGAAAGACCAACACAGAAATATTTGAAAATACTTTCGTCTTTTGAAGTCTGGCAGTTTAGGATGCATTATAATTAAACTTCTGTGTCTCTTACTTGTGGAGCAGGGTATTTGGAAGTTGAGGAACTATTTGAAAGTTGAGATCTGTTTGTGATCTTTCAGGTCTAGGTCTCCTCAGGGTGAAAATCTCACAGGTTATACTCTGGCCAGAGTTTCGTTCCTCTGCCTGAACTTCTGGGAAGCTTTCACATTATGGAGATTTTAAGATCCTCTTAAGGGTTTTCACTAGTGCTGCTCATCTGGGAAACCTTGTGAAGAAGACAAACATTAGAGTGAAGACTTTCAATCTGGCAATACTTGTTTATATTCTGATACTTTCTGTTATTATTGAGGCTAGCATTGACTAGCAAGTAAGCGTTACGTCAGGAACTTTTACCATCACAATAACTTTACCGCCAGTAATTAGATGTGTATATTAGTACTGGACTGCTTTGAGGTAGAAGCTGCTGCTCATCTGCCACTTATTTAATGGTATATGGTTCTGGAATTTTTTTCCCTTGAATGTCATTTCTCAGGGCAATACAGCACTTTTGCAGAAAGCCACAGTATTCATGAGAATAATTTCTGAAAGTTCACATTTTTATTTTCTGCATATGACACCATCACTTTTGTAACAAAATATGCCACAGATTTTGCTCCCCAGTGAAAGGATTTGTCTCTACACATTCTTTAAAGCATGACTTGAATTTTGGCTGGTAAATGATAGAATCCAGTCAAGAAGGAAGGATTAATCCAGTCAAAAGGATTTTATCAGAATGCTTTTTGTTACAAATGAAAGGCCTTTCTTTTCTAGATGCCTTGTTGACAATTTCAAGAAGATGCTTTGTTGGACAAGAGAGCTTCTATCAGGTGTATTTTATAGTGGAGTATCTGCAAATCATTAATATAAATGCATTAAGTAACTGGACATTAACCTGCTGCCAGATCCTCTTTAACAGAGATGTTTTTACTGTATTTTTAGTTCCTGCATTGAAGTTATTTTTACTTCTGACTTCTTATTTCTTTTAATCTAGTTATTTGGGCACAAACCAAAGTTATATCTCAAGGATACATGCTTGCTCTGTCATTTCTTTTGCTTTGCTATGAGTGATGCTTTATTAAGTGCTATAATCTTAAAAAAGCAGATGAGCTTCAGGTTTTAGAGGTAGTTTCAATTTTGAAGGTTAAGTCTTGCTAACTGGAAGTCACACACTAAGAGTCATAAATTCGTGCCCAGAGTGATTTTTTTTATTTTTTTTTAATTACTGCCACCATATTACTCACTTTCTAGTCACTGTCTTTAGATTTTACACCAGCAAAGGTGAGGAGAAAACATTACCTACATATGTCCACTTTTTTCTTTCATAGAAAAAGACCCCTTAGAAATACCTATATAGAGACCTTTAAAATGTCCACAACCTGAAAGAATGAAAAGGAAGGTGGTCCCTTTGTAAGAACAAGTTAGTTACTGTATTTCTGCACAGGACTATTTTAGTAGTAGATGTTTGCAGAGCAGCAGTGTGCTTGTCTGTCCACATCTGTTGTGAATATCATGTCAGTGCAGCAGCGGCTTCCATGCTGTAGTCTTAGGGAAACTTGTGATATCTGATCATCAGTAGATGCTACAGTGTTTCTGGCAATTGGAATACTGTTGCAAGCTCCTACAAGTGTGACAGATGTGTGCAGGTGTCTGAAAATTGAAATGATGTCTAATTCTCTGAGTATTTATATATGTGCATGTATTCCATCATCTTCTTGTTAAGGCAGTACTAGAGGCATTCATAAAAGAACAGACTGGCCTGGGGTACTTAGTTCTGTTACTCTCTCAGCATGAGGCACAGTAACTGGTGGAGCATCTTCACCTCTCTGGAAGGGGACAGTGGAAATTGCCAGAAATGCACTGATTGTGCGTATGTCCAAGTGGAATACATTTTAAATGGTGTACAGAATACCTTGAGGATTTGCTGTAATAGTGGAAATACGATCACTCTCTTATTTTTCATGACTTCAAAACTTGAGTAGTGTGTTTTTTGTAGTAGGTGTCTGCCCTCTCAAGCCAAAGTGATTTAGAGTACATTGTATTCGCTAAAAGGAAGAATCTTATTCCTAAACTCAAAATAACTTGACCTTTTGCTAATGTTGTTTTTTTACCCATTGTAAGCATATAGTGTAATCAGAGTGTCTTTTGAGAGTGTCTCATCTCTTTTTTTTGTCACAATTTAAAAGCATAATTGCAGGAACTGTTGATTTCTGCTTGTACTATTGTGTTTGTAGATACTGAGCTTGAGTTTAATCTCACACCGGGGTTGTTCCATTTAAGTCAACTGAGTGTCAGCCTGGCACAGCTGAGATTAGATTCTACCTCAGTACTATGTATCTAAACAAGTAAAAACAATGAAGCTGTCTAAAAATAACAAATACTGTGGAATTATCTACTAACTTTAGGTAAGTCTGAATTTCAAAAGAACTGATGAATTAGACTAGAGCAGTTTTGAGAGAGATTTTTATTTTTCTACTTTTTAGGAAATGTGCACCGTTGAAGAACCCAATGAAGAGTTCACATCTAGACATAGCTTAGAATGGAAGTTCCTATTCTTGGATCACAGGTGCAATTCCTTCTATGTATAGCAGCAACAGTAGCTGAATCACGGTGGCTGTAATGTTTAGAGTTCACTAATCAGTATTAACTACTCATAACTTGTGTTAGGTTTAATTTTTAATCTTTTTCAGAGCATATACTATAAACAAGAAAACTTATATAATGAAATAATTTTGTTTGGGGTTTTTGTGTGAAAATGAAATTACATTAATTTTTCTATTAATTAGGGCACCTCCAATAATAGGTTATCTTCCGTTTGAAGTTTTGGGAACATCAGGATATGATTATTACCATGTGGATGATCTAGATAATCTGGCAAAATGTCACGAGCATTGTGAGTACAACTTAAGTTGCTAAAACGAGAAAGCTTGCTTTGTAAATGTTTGGTTTAAAGATTGTTGAGTTGTGCAACTATTGCAGTGAAACTCTGTAATACATTTGAGTGACATGTCTTTACTCCCATTCATTTGACATTATTGCACTGCCCATCTTTGTCTTTTTTCTTTTGATACAGACCTACAAAACAGATATAAGTTTATCTTAGAGTTTACACTGTGGTAAATTGGAGTGCACAGCACTATATTACTTCTCCAGTTCTTCTAATAGCATTTAAAAGGCTCCGTGATGTGTATTAAATGTAATAATTGTTTAAACATGTAATAAAATGAACTTTCTGTTTAGCTGTGGTTTTCTTTCTAAAGCTGTACATTTTTCACAATATGTAGAAAACCCACAAAAATGGAAGTTTGTATTCTGCAGATCTCTGAAAAAATGCAATGTAGATTTTTATTTTTTTTTTTGTAGAAAGCCGTGGTTTTAAATCTGTTCTTGTCATTGTCATAATACTGGATTTAGACATGGTTTGGGGCCATATGAAGCTGGGAAATAATGGTTATTATGTAAGTGCAATATTTACAGCCTGGAAAAACAGTAAACTTTATTCCTCACTTTTATAGTAATGCAATATGGGAAAGGGAAGTCATGTTACTACAGATTCCTTACAAAGGGACAACAGTGGATTTGGCTGCAAACACATTACTATATCACGTATCACCAGTGGAATTCCAGGCCAGAGTTTATTGTCTGTACGCACACTGTTGTAAGGTAAGTTATTGTTTATAAATCTGTATTAGAGAAATTGTACTGGCATGAGAGCTGTATTGCTGGTCTTTGGGAGGTAGAGAAATCCTAGCAGTTTAGAGAATCGCTGGAAAACTTCCTGAGATATTTTATGAGCAAAGTAGCTCTGAGGTACTTTGAAGTACGTGTTTTTAAAGCATCCAGTAATACAGTAGTCATATTTTGGTTTGTTCTTCTAGTTACGCGGAAGTTAGAGCAGAAAGACGACGAGAACTTGGTATTGAGGAGTCTCTTCCAGAGATAACAGCAGATAAAGTGAGTGTCTTACGTAATTTTATTTTACCTCTTCTTTCTTTCCTACTTAATATGTAAGCAAATACACAGAAATACAACAGCAGCAAGAGGACTTTATCTGTCCTGTTACAGATAAAGTAATTATTTGGATCTCTAACTAATTTGACTATGTAGCCTAGGAAGAGTGTTTGGTTAATAGTTTTCTGCCCTGAACACTTACCCTCCTCTTTTCAGGAGTTTAAGTGCATGTAGTTGCAACATGGCAACACCCCTAAGTCCTTGTTAAGATCTGATTCCTGCAGAGATGGATTCATAAATAAATGTTTCTCCTTACTGGAAGCACCCATAATCTAAAAACCCAAGGTCAATGCAGAATGGTGGCTTAAAAGAATTCACAGGAGGAAAGCTGGAGCTGTTCTGTTTTGTGACTCTGTCCCACTTCTTAGGAGTATACGAAATTCATTTTGAATTAATGTCCTTGGAAGCTCAGTGAGCCTTAGATAAGCCAGCTTGTACAGATGCTCTGTTCTGTTTTCCCCTGGCAGTTCAGAAATGTTTCCCCTTGGCAGTTCAGCAAGTTTCATCTGACAGAGCTCCTTCTAGTGGAATTAACTCATCCTTTCTTCACAGAATAAGCATCTCACTCATTACACCAGTGTTCAAAGTGAATTGAGTTGCTAGAGAAGGAGGTCAGCTCAGCAGTGAGTCTGTGGCCTATGTCTGCATGCATTTTGGTTTCTAGGCTTATGTGGAGTATATGGATTCTTTTCCAAGGATAAAAGCTACAAATGGAAACTGAGCTAACTGAGAAACTGAGGTACCAAGCAGGCCACTGCTTCAGCACAGTCACCTGTGTAAGAGGGTTGATATTAGGCACAGCATAGTTCTAGATATTTGCTAACAGAAATGGACACTGTGTGCTGAATCATATAAAATAATTGTGGTTTATGTATGTCTTTTCAGAGCCAGGACTCTGGATCTGACAATCACATAAACACAGTGAGTCTCAAAGAAGCTCTGGAAAGGTTTGATACCAGCCCCACACCTTCTGCTTCCTCCAAGAGTTCAAGAAAATCTTCGCACACTGCAGTATCAGATCATTCATGTAAGCACCAACTGTTGAAAGTATAATTGCCATCCTAGTGAAGGTTTTCTCTACTTTACTTACTTTAATTAAATGCATAACTAGCAGTTAGTATCACTTTATGAAAAGTGTGCAGATGAAAATGGTCAGAAATCTGCTGACAACTCTGATTTTCAGAGGTCGTGTAGTGACTTCTGCTTCTGGAAGTACAATAGCAGACTTTAGAGCACCCTATTTCAGTCCATCAGATTGTGTTATTGTTGCATAGCCAGGGTAAAAATAGAGTCCAGGCCTTAATTTTCTTTCTATTAATGAAAAACATGCTGTGATTTGATTATTGCATTGCAGAATTGAGATTACTATTAACATGTCTCTTTCTGTTGTAACTCTGAACAATGTCAGCAACACCAACTAAAATGACAGTGGATTCTAGCACTCCTCCAAGGCAAAACTTACCTGGTCATGAAAAGACTGCGCAAAGAAGATCATCTCTGAGTAGCCAGGTAACTCTTCAGAGAAAAATTTTATACTTCTTAATCAATGGAATTTGATGTTATTTAAAAGGTACTATTAAATAACCTTAACTTTGTTTCTTCTGAAAACACATAATTTAAACTGTAACAGTGTCACGTGGAATACATGAGTATCAGAATTGTATCAATATGCATCTTTGGTATACTACATTCTAAGGGAATACAATAAGCATATAAGTATCTCTGGCATTAGTGTTTGTGAGATTGTGTATGAATCTCTGCTTTCACTTGCACATAACTTTCTATAATTCTGCATTTTTAATATACATATGTATATAAGCAATTATGTATGTAAGTGCCAATGTAATGCTGTGCTCGTTGCTATATGAATTCATGACTTTAAAAATATCAGTGAATACTTTCATATAGTTTCTGAAATCTTGGTAACATGGGAAAATGTCATACTTCATTCATTTGGTACTTATGTTGCACCTAAACTAATACGTTCATTTCAAAAATAGAATGGGTATGAAAATATATATTTTTAAAAAATATTATTTTAAGAATAAATCAAAGCTGTCAACTTCCAAACTTCCTGAAAAAGTTTTCCCTTGGTACAAAGAAGACTTTTAAAACAGTTTCTGTGTTTCATGGTTTATACCTGCTGCTTCTATATATTTTTAGCAGTGAAAAAATTGTATACCTATATATATAATCAATTGCTTTCATGTCTGTTGTTCTGTAAGATTTAAGGTTAGATCTTTCAGGAAACATTTACTTGTTTTTTTCATATGTTCACGTGATGTTATTTTGGAATTGACACTTTATGTAAAGAAATACTTCATGTCAAGTAGGAAGTTCATTCCAGTTATGGAACCATTTTTTCAATCCTAGTCTTTAAGCTCCCAGTCTCTTGGACAACCAGTAGCACAGCCAACAGTATCTCAGCCTGCAACTGTACAGCTCCAGTCTGGCATGTCCCAGGTATGTATGAAGTTGGTTTATTGTTTATTATTTTTCAAACAGTCTTATTCTCCTGCAGAAACCCACTGTTCATGGTTTGGATGGGTACTCTTCACTGGGTGAAAAACGGGCTGGATGGCTGGACCCAAAGAGTTGTGGTGAATGAAGTTAAATCCAGTTGGCAGCTCATCACAAGTGGCACTGCCCAGAGCTCAGTAATGGGGCCAGCTCTGTTTAAAACCATTATCAGTGATCTGTATGAGGGGATCACATGCACCCTCAGTAAGTTTGCAGACAACACCAAGCTGTACAGGACAGCTGATCTGCTAGAGGGAGGGAAGGCACTACAGAACATATAATATCAAGAAGGTTACACTGACTTGTGGCCCATAGTGGATATCTAGGGAAAAATAGAAGTGGCAAACACAGCTTCCCTGTGTGCTCAGCCTTCAATAGTTTGTGACTGAGGGTATTCCCAAGTTATTTGCATGTTTTAGCTCTGGGTGTATTTTTTTGGTAAACTGGTACAATTCTAATTTTTAACCTGAGAGCGCTTTAACATCTGCAGTACTGTGTAAATTACTGAGGCTTTTTGTAGTCTTGATGATTTGGATACCAGTTAACTTCTTCTGCTATGTATTTATACTTTTTAGTTCACCAATTCTGATGATTAACTAAATATGAACAATAAATTAAATATGAGGTCTGTGACATTTTCATGCTAATGAATTTGTCATCAGATTATGGTACTAGCAGTTTAAAAAGCAGTGCTTCATTTCTTTGCTGCTGTGGAGGAGTGTATTTACTGCTTGTAAATGTAATTATTTTTGCTCAGCTTTTCATTTATTCGTTTCACTACAGCCTGTGTTTCAGTTTTCAGCTCAGTTAGGAGCTATGCAACATCTAAAGGACCAGCTAGAGCAAAGAACACGCATGATAGAAGCAAATATTCATCGACAGCAAGAAGAGTTGCGCAAGATCCAAGAGCAGCTTCAAATTGTCCATGGTCAAGGACTCCAGGTGAGTTAGTGTAACTCTTACAGGTTTCATCTGTAGAGAATTTAGGTATCTAAACTTGAGCAGTTAATTCCACAAACTGATCCTCCCTATCCCCATCAGCTGCCATCTGGACCCAATGTCCCTAAAATCCGTAGCATCTAAGATACTGTTTCCTGGGGTACTAACATTTTGGTTCAGGTACTGACACTGTCAGATACCGACATTTTGATTCTGAATGTATCTGGAAGTGCCTCAGTGTATCTTTTCAGTATTGAGACCCTCAAGCCTAGCTTATGCCTAAACCTCAACATAAAAGGATGCAGTGATTGTTACTTCTTGCAAAGATTTTCAGCAATTAGAATATTAATCCAAAATGTGCAAGATGAGCATTTATTTCCTCTTTTAGCTCGAGAGTGTCAAATTCATACCTTTTGTTTCTTAAACTGTCCCAGCTGTCAGGCTGTGGTCCTCCTGCAGACCCTCCTGGTGAAGTGGTTCTACTTTGTATGGTATACTGACATAGTTACTGAGACAGAAAGACAGGGAATGTAGAGGATGAATTACTCAGTCTAGCAGCTGACTACCTGATTTCTGTATTTTTACCAATATGTTTTTTCTTCTAATTTTGAATTTTGTCATTCTCCTTTCAGCAGCTCTCTTTGGAAGAAAAGAATGATCCTACTGGCTTTTTCTAGTTAAAACCAACCAAACAAAAACCCCAAAAATCCCAACCAACAAAAAAAAAACCAAACCAAAACCTGAAGTACCCCTTAAGGAAATAATCTGAATATTTTCATCATGGATGATGAATGAAAAGTAAAAAAAGATACTTTCTGAAAGTGTTGAGTATGTTGCTTAAATTCTGTTGACAAGTAGGAGTTTCTGGCATCTGCCATTTTCAGTGTTTTATCTTGTCTAATGTAAGCCTGCCACTAGTAGACTGCCTATAGAGGCCTCAAAAGGACAGATTCACAGCTCTCTTCCCGTGCACTGTGGAGAGACCTTATTCAGAACTAAATTAGGAAAAATATCTTAAGTGCTGCACATTCATGCTACTTTATTGCCCTGTCTTCTTGTAGTCTTTGCCTAACTTTTTGTAAAGACTCAACTGTTTTTGTGCTGAATTCAGATTATTAAACAATGCTAGAAAGATCAGATGGAGATTCTGTCCTACAAAGAGAAATGTGATCTCAAATTTTGTCTTTAGACAGTTGTAGACTACATTACAATTTAGTCTAAATAACGTTGTTTCTTTAATAATAAATATTAAACCTTATTGTTTAGGGGTCTAGAAATCAGGATTTGGATTCTTACCAGTTATAGTAGAATCTCTGAATAGTGACCCTATATGGCAGATGGGTCTTTTGATCTTGGTGATTGCAGTGCTGTTTCATCACTTCTAATAACTGAGATCACAGAATCATGGAGTTATTAGGGTTGGATGGGACCTCTGGAGATGAATCTAGTCCAGCCCAACTAAAGATGAAACTGAATTATTAATCACTGTTCTCTTACAGTGATTTTAAATAATGAAATTTAGTTTCTCTAAAACACCTTGAACAATTAACAGATTTGGTTTAAAAGCTAACTTGTGGATTTTTTTCTTTAAGATGTTCTTGCAGCAGTCAACTTCTGGACTCAACTTTGGTTCTGTGCATCTTGCTTCCGGAAATTCTTCAAATGTTCCTCAGCTTGCATCAGTAAACATGCAAGGTCAAGTTGTTCAGACTAATCAGACTCAAAGTGGGATGAACACTGGCCATATAAGTACTTCTCACATGATACAGCAACAGCCTTTGCAGAGTCCTGCAACACAGGTAAAATTTTCATTCTTGATATTGTTGGATGGAATACATGCTAAAAAAAACACCTGAAACACAACAGTTGCTTCCCTGACATTCTCCTCCCAATTTTTTTTGTAACAATATCCTTTGAGTTGTATTAGTTCCACATTCCTGGTTTTCAGTTGAAATGCATTCATGTTCTTGATAATGCAATTGCAGATCTTGTTTTTATCTAAGACTTAGGCATATAAACAAATCTTAAGTAGCTTTTTTGAAAGACCAGTATCAGGGAACCTTTTAGCTTACCTTATTTTAAATGTCTGTTGATTTCCTGTTGATAGAACATATAACATTGATAACAAGGTGTGCTTGAAATGTGGTCTCCAGACAGCAAATAACTAGAAAAGCATAGGAACAGGACAAGCATATACTGATGCTTCTGCAGTTTACTTCTCTACTCTTGAACAGTTTCAGTCAGATGCCAGAGGTGTGTGACATCTGTAATGTAATGGGCTTTTTCTTGTTTTTTCAGTTTCTTTCAATTCCATGTAAACTTTTGAAATCCACAATACCTCATAGTGAGTTCTACAGCTTTGCTTTCTGTGATACGTGATTATGTTTGTTTCTCAGACTTGCCACCCAGCTCATGCCCTCAGAAACACACTGAGCAGCAATTCACTTTTCATCTTCTCAGTCATGCATGATGTCAAAGTCCTCTGTCAATCTCCATAGAAAGCCTTTTCTTCAAGCTGATAGACTTGATCGTTTGTGTATGGAGGCTCCTTACACCTCCCATCTCTGTGGTCACCCTCTGTACTTTTACCCAAATTCCATACTTTCAACATCTGTGAAGAGGCAGACTAGTGGTGGACAGTGTTACCATCCCAGTAGTAAGCTAGTTCCAAGTAAGAAATAGATTGATGTGATGTGCACTTTTTAGTCTGGTCTGGCATAGAGATGCTAAAGGAGTGGAAAATAGGATCTTGAACAAACAATATGCAAGTAGCTGAAAAAATATCAAATCCTGAACAGACGGCGAAGTTAATTTAGGAGATTTTCAGAGGTCTGGGGGCCAGTTGTGAAGTATGGGCAATGACAATGAGGAAGACAGCTGTAATACCTGGGTATTTTCAAATTACAATGTCATATGTTTTCTTTTCAGCATAATCAACAAAATGTACTTAGTGGACACAATCAGCAGTCTTCTCTTGCCAGCCAGTCACAGAACACAGTCTCGGCACCTTTGTATAACACTATGGTGATTTCTCAGCCAACAACAGGAAATGTGGTCCAGGTTCCTTCTAGCTTACCACAGAACAACAACCAGAATGCTGCTGCAGTAACCACTTTTACACAGGATAGACAAATCAGGTAAATCTTCAAGAGCAATAGTCAGATGACTTGCTATAATGAAGCATTAAAAAAATCATGTGACTTATTACCTGTATATGGATACAACTGTTAAACTAAGCTTTTCCAAAAACAGCATGTTTGCAGGCTTACCAAAGCCCATGGTGTTAGAGCAGAGAATGAACCTGACAAAACTGCATTTCTTAAGGGCATGTGATGCTTGATATGGATTTTTTTCCTTAAGGGACTCCCTTTTTCCTTTTAACAGATTTTCTCAAGGTCAGCAACTTGTAACAAAACTTGTCACAGCGCCAGTAGCATGTGGAGCAGTAATGGTACCAAGTACTATGTTTATGGGACAGGTGGTGACAGCTTATCCCACTTTTGCTGCCCAGCAGCAGCAGCCACAGACTTTGTCAATAACGCAACAACAACAGCAGCAGCAAAGTCAGCAAGACCATCAGCAGCAGGTCACCACAGTTCAGCAACCAGCTCAGCCGCAGCTGACCCAGCACACCCAGCAGTTCCTACAGGTAATGCAGCAGTCTCCATAAAGTTTTCCAAGTGCTGACATTTCCACTATTGCCAGTTTATCCTGGGGGTGCTTTATCTGAAAGCAGAGCGCTTAAAACAGTATCTATGAACAAGCGTGATGCATGAGGTAAGTTTACTCGGTAGCCGTTCTCTAGAATCTTACTACTTACAGGAAAGGTAGTCTTCCCTGCAGTTGTACTTATTTGCCTTATATCTTTGAATTGCTGTTCTTGCTTGAGCATGGGATGAAGAAACAGATGTTTCCCTTTAAAACTGCTTGCGTGTTCTTTGCATTCACATATTAATGCAAGAAGGTATGAGAGATGATCTCAGAATTGGTTGATCTGGAAAGCAGCATGCAACCTAAAGCAAGACATGTCCCATAACATGAGGCATGAACATCTGTTGTGAGACATGAACAGGGGAGGCTGAGCAGCAAGTAAGCAAAGAGTGGAGAAGAACCTTGGTTTAGTGGAGAAAGAAGAGAGATTGGATCAAAAGAGAAGGAAGGCAAAACCCAAGGAGTTTAGAGGTAGGAAATCTTGAAAAGAACCAGAAGGCAGAAAGAATTGATGGGAAATCTATTGCCATTTGTTGATTCCAGTTAATTGCTGGCACACAGATCTCCCAGCAGGTGATGTTAGTGAGGGAGATGTAGTGGTAGCTAGAAAACCAGAGAGGAAGTGTCTCCAAGAGGACGTAGGTTAAAGGATCTTAATTTGGCCTCTGATGTTGCCTTCTCCAAAGATGAAATCCATATTAACTATCACAATGTACTTTGCACACGTTCTTAGCACTCTTAAACTACTCTGGGAATGTCAATTTAATTTGTTGTTGTTGTTGTTCTTTTGAGAGCATACATAATTAAAAATCCTGATTTTGCAAGTACTTCTTAATATCTGTGCTCTCCCATTTGCACTAAATTTGGGATTGTGTGCATAGGCAAGATATATGCAAACACAGTAAGTAATTGGAGGTTTAATCTACATTTCTATGCACAAGGAATGTTTACAGTTCAGTTTAGAGCTGAGTAAAATTTTCTTTCACTGTATCACTGACAGAAAACACTGACTTGTTATAAAAGTCTTTCATGGGAATGTACCAGTTCCAGTCATGCATCAGGCAAAGGCTTTTCAGCTGCAAGTTGACTCTCAAAAGGATAGATGAAGGATACCTACTGATTTGAATTTCAGCTGTCATTTACATAGTGGGAGATTCTTGAATTGAATCCAACCAGAGTGCAGATTTGAATGTGTTCTCTGACAAGTCAGATAAATACTGTAACACCAGTGCTGTTTAGCAGGTTAGTAGTGTCTGTATCTCTGTTTCTAAATTTAAAACTTTGAACAATTTTGACCTAATTCTGTTGAAACAGAAGATTTGTGGAAGATGAAGATCTCCAAAAGTTTGTTCCTGTTCTAGAATTTCTTTCTAAGCAAAAATTACTAGTTTGTATTCAAAATACTGAAGTGCTAGAATTTGAAGTGAAGCAAATGCTCTTTAAGAAGGGAGAAAAGTGCTTTTCCTGCCTCTGCTCACTGGGCCTTCTTACAGTCTGATTGTGTAGATGCACCAGTTAATGTAGTTTAATTTCTGTTGCAGAACATGTTTCAGGATTGAGATATCTAAGTACATTTTTACCTGTCCTTAGTTGCTTTTCTTTGTTGGTTCTAAGAAGGTTAATATTAAAACTAAGTAGTATTTCCAGTAATAATAAATCTCCTCCAAAGTTGCAGATTCTTAGAATGTTCATTTTGGCTGCAGGGGAATGAATGTGATCTGTGCCAAGTCAGGCACTGTTTTTTCATGTGATTGCAATGTCAGCCACCTGCATTTGTTCAAATGAATCCCTTAAGCCCTGTTATGCTCTTGTGGTTTGAAATGGAGACAAATTGCCATGTGTTCCTACCCATTGTCATGGGAAATTACGAAGACCAGTTACAAGTGCTTTGATAATTGGTCAGATGCTCTAGTTAACTTTATTAGTATGAACTAACCTTTGCATTGTTTGCTCAGCATAAAAGACAACCCAGAAGTTTAGTTTGATTGAGCCCTTATGAAAAGTTAGAAAGCAGCCAGGCCTGCAGTTTCTCAGTGCAGCAGGAAAAATAATTGTCTTCTATTTCCATGTTCTAGACATCCAGGTTACTTCATGGAAATCAGTCAGCTCAGCTTATCCTTTCTGCTGCTTTCCCACTACAACAAAGCACTTTTACTCAGTCCCACCACCAGCAGCATCAGTCTCAGCAGCAGCAGCAGCAGCCACTTTCTCGACATAGAACTGACAAGATGACTGATCCTTCCAAAGTGCAGCCACAATAGCGCGGGGCTCTGCCACTTCTCGAAGTGAACTACCACGAGGGGGCTGCTCCGCCAGCAGTGGCACTGAGGCTACAGAGGTAGCAGTACAAAGGCTTTCTAACACCACAGTGTTGGGATCAGCTTCTAACTTCTGGAATCTGCTAAGAAAAGCCACAAGATGATGACGGGGGACATGGCCAACTTTGATAGTTGCCCCAGTTTCTTGTTCTAAAGGATTTGCTGCCATGTGTTGATTTGTCCAGGTGAAATCTCAAAATGTGACTGAAATGTGAGGTATGCTGAAAATATTGGGTTTTTTATCAATCCTGTACATTTTTTAAGTATTAAAATGGACTTGGAGCAATTGTTTGAATTAGCAGAAGAAAAAAAAAAAAAAAACAAATGCCAGGAATATAGTCCAAAAACCATCTAATTTTTTTTCAGATGATTATAGGACAGTAAATATTTTGAAAATGTTGTGTGAAATCCAGTTCTCTGTTGTACAGATGCTGTAAAATATTGTGTATATGTCTGCATAAAAGGAGAAAGAGCAAAATATTTTATATGATGCATGAAAATGTAATCTGTTATTTGTAGGTTTGAATATGTTTCCCTAAATTCTCACACCATACTCAGACTAATGTTTTCCTCTGTTCTACCCTTTTGTTTACAACATGATGCATCATTATTTTTCACCCTTAATGTGGGCACAAGTCTCTTGTTTGTGCTTTGTCTGTGATGTCAGGGTTTGTTCGGTGAGGTTTAGTGTGTTGGTTTGTCGTTCTCGAGGTTAAATTATTGATGAAGCTGTTTGAACTGGTGATCATTCATCGGGGTTCAGGACATTCAGATTCATGAATATCATCCATCATTTCATAATTGATTCATCGCTTTATTTGAAAAACAAATAGGAATTTGCACTGCTTTCTTGTGGGTGGTTTGGAATTTTATTCCCCAAAGCTATCTTTTGATATAGTTCATAGTTGGAAATATTTATGTAAAAGGTTTAAAAAAAAAATATGACAGTAATTTTCAAGAATGTTTCAGTTATAGGAGTAATTTGCACAAAAATATATTTACATTTAATAACCTTTTGGGCACTTTTTAACCACTTTCTCTGTGGTGAGAATTGTAACTTGTTAAAATATGTTGGAATCTTTTTATTCTCCTTCAAAAATTAGAACTGATTCAGGGTCATTTTAACAACAACAACAAAACCCATAGTGCCTTGATTTTAATTCAGGTGATAATGTTTAACATCTTGAATTACAATGTCTTGAATCTGTAACCATTTTCAATTTTGAAGTCTTAGTACATTGTCAGCCAGACTTGTCTATCTACTTCATAGATATTTCTGTAATTGTGTTGATTTTATAGTGGTCTGAGTTAAGACCATGATCATTTTGGACTGGTACTCCCCCTCAAACACTAGCCAGGAACAGAGGAGTCTCTCAAATCTCAGACTTGGAAGGTAATACTCTTTAGAAGATTAAAAGACCTAAAAGTACAGAACTCCTTTTGCAGGAGGAGGAATATTAAGCTGATTTTGTTGTTGTTGTTGTTGTTTTGGGGTGTTCTATTTTTATTCATCTTCATAGCATTTAAAGTGTTTTAGGGGAGATCGTAATTGCATTCAGCACTACCAGACTATTGATTTAAGAGATATCATTGAACTAAGACTTCAGAAGGCAACTTCACTTGATAAAGAAAATAAAAAGTTCCAACAGATATGATGTGCTATTTTAAGTAAATGTTCAGTAGGTTTTTATGGCACTAGTTTGTGGAAATCAGAACTTCAGAGGAAAATGAATAAATGCTGATAGATTCTGATAATTAAAAACAGTAAAAGCAGTTGAAGTTAGTACTAGAGAGGGAAAGCTGGATTAAGCTTGAATACTGAGGAGGAGTTGAATGAATGTAACCAAATGATGATGGACTGGTTTGTACTATGAAACAGTTTGATTGTATTGCTGGATGAACCAAACCCACAGGAAGGTGTTACCAGTTTAGCCAAGCATGTTGGTTGCGTTTTGACGCTAGCCTTTGCCCCTGCATGTGTCCTATCATTAGATCTTTGTTATTCCCCAGTTATAAAGCATTTGGCACCAAAAAGCACGGAAGTGAATAAGGAAGGAGAGAGAAACGGTACCAAAGAGAATCAGATTGCTTTCTGCTTCAAGAAACCTCTTGCAACCTGGAGCAAGGAACAGATGCCAATACCAAACATAGCAAGGAATACTCCCCTTCTGTAAAGGGATTTCTAGCATTCTCTGGGTTGGAATACTTGTCAGAAACCTATTTGTGTAGAGTTCTATGTGCAGAAATCCTGCCTGGCTCTTGTATTCCTACTGTGCCATTCCACCTGTTTCTGAATGAAGCTGCGTTTGACTACAGAGGTCTGTGCTATCAGTACTTTAGCTTAGTGAAAAATAGGTTAGATAAAAACATAACCAATTATAGCACTAAAAAAAAACTGGAAGAGCTTTAATAGTGCTGTTAAACTATTGAATAGGGGTAAAGTGGGTTTATTAAACTATTCATACTGCGAATTACAGAAAATAGAAAATCCCAGCCAGGTGGGTAATGGTGCAGCTTTTTATATAAAGCTTCATTTAAATTTCTCTTTCCCATTTTCCCCTTCCCAAATACTCTAGTGTGCTGCTATAGGTCTGTTGGTAAAAAGGCTAAACTAGGTGAGGGAGGAATTAGATGATGACGACAGCATGGCTGCTGAAAGAGAACTATAGAAATGTACGCTTTGATGAAGAAGCTTTTTGTAACCTCAGAGAGAGGTCATTCAGTTACAGAAGTACCAGCTACTACAGAAAGGCTTAGAAGATGGGGAAATTCATAGAAACTGGAAAAATATAGCACATGTTTGGAAAGTTCATGCCACAAATCAGGCAAACTTCTGATAAAAGCGAGTATGTAGGACTTGGTCCTGATTCTGTGCAAGTATGCAGATGCTTTGTTTCACAGGTAGTGACTACAAAGTGTGTATCTAAAGGCTCTGCAGCTTCTCCTGTTGCTGAATCAATTGCTGAACTGTCCTTGATTTTTAATGGGAAGAGGACCAGGCTGTCACCTCTTTCTTAATCAGCCTTTTGCTTCTGCCCGACTCATTTACCACTGTCATAGACTTATTTGCAACATCCTAATAAATAGCATGATAACGGATGCTGTGATGCTGCAGGTTCTGGAGCATAACCTTTAGGGGTTGACTCTGACAGAAGGGAAGGAGTCTGTTAAGGAGAGGACTGGATTTCTGAAGAAATGAGCTGGTGATAACGTAATGGAGTGAAAAGGCAGCATAGTTGCATGGAGTTTAGGAGACACATTGTTTGCCTGCAATGGGTGAGGATTTGAAGAAAAGCTTCTATGATAACTTCAGAGAAAAAGAATATAGCTATTTTTATATTATATTTAATATATATTATATTTGTATATAAATATGAAAGGATTCTAGTAGGAGCTCTCCATATGCCTTCCATTTCATCTAGAAGGTTGTTTACCTTCTGCACTACAGTTCCAGTGTGTCACCACCACCTTCTGTGGGCATCTCGCCTACTGCCAAACACCAAAATGAGTAACCCAGTATCCTTACAAGAGATAGATAGGTTTCATTTCAGCTTTATGTAAAAATGAATAAAAGAAAGCTGTATCAGGCAGTTTTTCACAGAAAAAGAAATTATCTTAAGACTCAAATAGCACTTTGTTTTTGATTTTTTTTTTTTTGTGAGTAATAACAAGCACTTTACTGAAGAGATTATCGGAAAGCAGTTTATTTAGTCAGTGAAACTGTTTAAATGGGGGGGTGGGGGGGTGGTATCCAAGAATAACCTGCATAGAACTGTCAAAAGAGGCATTTCTGGAAAATGTTTCTTTAACACGGTGATCCTTTGAGGCTCAAAGTGCAAGGTTAAAAAGGCTTCTAAAACCGGTTGCCTTTGTGTTTTACACAGCAGCCAGGGGAAGGGATAGCTGGTGACAGCTTCCCTGGGAGGAGGGTTTGTAAATTGCACAGTTGCCTATGATAGAGAATCATCTGGAGGCTCATTTGCCTGCTCAGTAGTTGTAAGTGTCCCTTAGGATTCTAATTTGTGTGGAAATGGTCTGAAGGATTAAAGATGTGGCCTTTTTAAGATGTTGAAGTCGATTCAAGAACCATTTCTGTTTTCAGAGATTTAACCCAGGTGTTGTCACGAGGTTTTAATGTCATGGCATCGGGAGATGTCAAATGTGTCAGATTCTCTATTTGAAATAATGATTAAAAGTAGATGCACAGTCAGGGAGCTGGAAAATGGTTATTTTCATTAAAAGGGAAAAGAGACTAGTTTTAATAATTAACCTTTTATTTTTTTACTTATCCCTGGTGGAAACAGTTGAAGAGAATGAAATGAATATGGATGAAGGAAAGATTTAAACAAATCATAGTAGATGAGACAACTGTGAGAGAACACTTGGAATTGTCTTGGTCGTCCATGAGACTGGACAGTGGCTTTTTCATTATCATGATTTTTTAACACTACATTCCTTGTTTTGTTTTTTTTTGTTTTTTTTTAAACAGGTGATTTTAAGCTCTGCTCTGCTTCATGCTATGTCATCTGCATGAGTTTTGCCAGCATGATATGCTATAACTCAAAGGAATTGTACCTAATTAAACCAGGGGGGTGGGGGAACACAAAACACTGTGTCTGAACAAAATACTGTATGGCCTAAATAGAGACCCCAGCTAAGACTGAGAGATGCTGCATTAACAGACAATCAAGGGGTGATTATTTATGAAACACTTCTGGGAATGGTCTTAAAGCTGTTACTGCTTTGAAAGCAGTTGGTCAGTTGTTTCTTAGCAAGCAAGGTAAAAATTACTTTCAGGTACATCCGGTTGAATTTTGAGTTTTGAACAGTGTTGAGTTCACAGTGGCTTGGGTTTCAGTTCTGTATGTTTTTAACTGGCATTAGATTTGTATACGTGAAAGAAAACAAACAGAAACACCCCAGTTGATGTCAGGAAATGTAGATACAGTTCCCTGGTATTCATGTGACCATTACTAACTGTCAATTTTTTAACTGAATAAATGTAACTCATTTAAAATCTTGCTTTTTGTACCTTCTGACGTTCCAGAAGTGGTGTTTCCGTGTCAGTTTTATCCACATTCCTCCACTGTAACAAAGGCACTCTTCCCCCCACCCACAGAACCAGCTTGTGAGAAGGTGCTTGATGTGGGTTTTACCATCTCTTCCCTACCCAGGCCAACTACTTGTGAGATGTCAGTAAAACACCCACTGTATTTCTTTTTAGCTCTCTTCTCTCTATCTCTTCATAAACTGATGCCCCACTCAAAACACCAGAGACCTTTGACTTGTGTATTTACATTTCTGCCTTGGAACTTACTCACACAGCACTTGTGTGAACATGCACAGCTTCAAACTGCTTTTGTATCTTAACGTGTAGGGTCCCTATTCTTGCCAAAGGAGGGAGAGCGCTGCAGGGCCTTGGCATGTGCATGAGGGTTTTATCCAGCATGGCCCTTCCCTCACTGCCTGGCATGGGCACAACATCCTCCTTTTGTTCTTTCAGCTTTCCTCCCTGGGCATTTCTTCTATTGGGGAATTATCAAAGAACAGTTAATTTAAAGGTGTAGCTATGATCTGAAACACCAGCTGTGCCACTTGAAGCAGAGACATTTAGCTGGGAACACAATTTCAGAGCATCAGTTCTCCCTTGAAAGAGCTGGCTGATAAAGTATAACCTCTCTGTGTGGGCTAACCCTGTCTCCACAGTCCTTTTGCACTGATACAAGCGTACACATTAATTATGTGACATTAATTAAATGTTCAAGGAAAGATGGGAGGGAAATCCTGTACCTGAAGCTGAATGCCTTGAGGAGATGATAAAAACACCCATTTTTAAGGTCTGCAGTTCTTTCTGTGGTATCACACAGGGTGCCTGTGTGAAGATACTGATCTTTTGCCTTTAGGAATGTACATGTACAAGCCACCTGGGTCCCTGGAGTCAAAAAACAATGAGCTACAGCAGTGCTGTAGTTAAAGCCTGTCAACACCCATCAGCGATAAGGCTGATACTGTGTGGCCAGCAAGATTATCAGCTTTCTTGAAACTGAACTTTGGAAACACCACTACAGCTTTCCATAAAGTTATCAAGAAGAGCTGTAATTGGAACTGCTGCCACACCTGGACCAATGCTGTTCAATGGCATTTTGCTGTCATGCAAACTTCGAAACAAAACCCATGCTTATATGAAAGTGCAAGGATTAAGTACTTGTAAAGATTAGCAATCCAAAAGTGAGCTGTACTTCTGAGTGTTGGCCATTAGTGATATAAATTCCAGAAGATTTCAGCTGTTCAAAGGTAACCTGTAACAGCAAAGATTTCCACACTGTTCTAGCACTCCTTGTAGCATGGTCTCCATCACTGTCAGACACTCTGGCGACAGCATTTTCACTTGGGGGGGGTACATTAAGTAATCCAGAAGAAATGCACAGTTACAGTATAAGCCACACAGAGGTGGAAAACATTACAGCTTAAATGTAACCTGTACCTACCTTAGTGAAAGCCCGTAGCTGTACCTTGCTGAGGGTGCTGACTGCAGGGTCTCACAGGTCATCTATGGAAAAATGCCACGTCAGTTCGCAGGTGCCGTTACATCACCCTTTCCGTGGCTCTGGACATTAAGGATGACTTGGGTTATGAGGCCGAAATTGCCTGAGCCTCATTCAAAATCAGAGATGCATCTGCTAAGCCACCAACCCCTTTCTAAGTGGGTGTTGTAAAACCACTCACATGGACAAGCCGTGGTGCGCTGGGACCTCTCACAGCACAGGCCGAATACAGCCCCTAGAGAACCTCCATGTTTCCAGGCTTGGTACCTGAGGAGCATGTCTCAAAAGAGCAAGGCCAAGCACCATCCCGCACACATTCCTGGTTTCATTGTCCCGGGGAGAGCAGGACCTGTGCTTGCATTCACTAACATGTCCCCTGAAAAGCTGTCCTGGCAGCACAAGAGATGAGCAGTTTGCCTCAGTCTTCACTTCCTGCACACATGCAGTACAACGAGACAGTCTTCACCTAAGGATTGGATAGAAGCACCTTCCAAAGTAAAGCACGAGCTTCTCTCATTTTAAACATCTTGGTTGATGTGAGGTTTTTTCACCCCAGTAGAACTGACTCATCTCCATCTTGTTTCTGTTGCCTGGAAATGAGTAGTTGCAGGCAGCAGCACTGTTCAGCCCTTGCTGCATGCAGCTGCCGTCAGAGCTGCACATTCCTGCTTTAGACGCTGCTTTTGAGGCTCCTGTGGCCACAGCTGCAATCTCCCACAGGGAGAGCAGCCGGATGGACAGGAAGCTGGGGAAGGGGTGGGGCAGCTGCCCGATTCCCATGCTGCAGATGCAAAGGTTTGCAGAGCCTTCCCCTCCGCACCCGACCACTGGCTTGCTGTATCTCACATTCTCCAGCTACAAAGGAACAAGAAATGGCACAGGGCTGTGCAATTAAAACTTCATCTGGTTACCTTGTTTGTTTCATACTCTAAAATGCAAGGCAACCCCCAAAACAGCCTCTGTTTAGAAGGGAAAGAGCACTCTTATTTATATTGTTTCTTCCTGAAAAGCCAGGCCTCAGCCTTTCCCAGGGGTACCACTATCTAGGAAGGGGCTGTGTGCAGTGCCTTGTGACAGAAAGAGTTATAAAGCCCCATCAGCACAGCATCAAGCCTGCTCTGTGGGCTGGAACCTTGAGACCTGGCAATTCCCAGCCCTGCACATTGCTCCTCCAGCCCCCTCAAGAGCCACACAGATGCTGCTGCCACAGATTGAGCTACAGGTACAGCTGTGTTTCACCCACATGAGCAAGCTGAGGCAGCCAGAAGCACTGAATGCTTCCCCCAGGTGACACTTCATGCCTGGAACATCTCTATGCACACCCCACCTCCTCTGGTCTGACCACACACAGGTTCCGCTCAGCCTGGGTGCTTTAATACACTGGCTTAATGCTTCTGCAAGTTAGCAAATGACAGCATCCTGGAAAAGAGGAAGTCAGTGCTACAGCCAGCTGCTGCTGGAAAGACAAAATAACCCATTCCCATATGCCCAGCTCCGCTGTTAAGGCACATTTCAGCTTACTGAGATCTTGAAGGAAGAAGTGACATAAAGGTGCAAGCACACAAGCCCACTGAACTGCTTACCTCAGACATGCCCCACGGTTCCCACTTTACATCTGGATATAAGAAGTAGAGAGCCAGTTTCTCTTACTAATAGATTGGCATCTTCCACTTTGGGCACAGCTTGGGGAAAGGAAGGGCAGAGAGCAGATTACTGCTCACATGTATCAGCATCTGAAGTGCCAGCACACAAGCTGCCAGCCCTCACAGGTCACTGCAGCGTTAGCCAGAACTGCTCATATTCTGTGCAGGACACCTCAGCCCAGGGACCAGTGACGCAGCTCACAGTGTTCCAGACTTCCAGCTCTATTAAGTAGGCTTATATCACCTCACCAGCAGCACATGTAACCTACTGCTCCAACTGAGACCTGCTACCTCAAGAAAACTATGGACAGAGGAAAGGCTTTAACAAAATCTGGAAGATTTTGATGCAAACTCAGCCTTAAGGGTAAGAGTTTTATATATATATATATATATATATATATATATACACACACACACACACACGTATGTATGTGTACACAGGCACTCCTGAAGATATTACCTGTATCTGGAGTACCCAGCTACTCTGAGACAGAACAGAGCCACACACCTCCCTGATGCCAGGCACAGAAAGTACAAGAATAATGTATGATGAAAGCTGCTCAAATCCAGACCCCTGAACCAGACACAAGGGTGCAAGTGCCTTGACATAGTGTGGAATGACCCCATTGGGCTGGAGACAGTGCAGCAGACACAGGGCTGCTAAAGTTATACCAGTGGAGTCCTTGGTCACATTCAGCGAGCTCCAGTGACAGCCCAATGAGGTTCCCTGCATCGTGAAACATTCCAGCAGCTACTTGCCAACACTAAATCACTGTAACTAGCAGCAACTGCTACAGCACCTTTCAAAGCTTTCAGTAAGATTTCATGAGCCATCTAGTTTTATAATGCATTTCCAAGGATAAGCTGATGTTTGTGCTTTTAAAAAGCACAAGAGACCACTGTTCAGACTAAGCGCTTCCAGCCCAGCTAGCACTAGAGCAGTCAAATACACTCCTATGACTGGTAAAAAGCAGCACTTCACATGTAACTAAAATATAAACTTCGAAGCCACAGAGATTTGCTCTGCAACTTCACACTCACCTCTATGGCCACCACATCAAATAGCTTCATTTTGCTGTTGATCCTGATTGTTCTCCTACCAAGGCAGCTGTAAGCAGCACATATACCAGATGCCCAGTATGTTTCCAGGCTGTGGGAAAGACGAGGCTACAGTTTCTGGCTACAACGCTTGGCTCAAAAGAAGAAAGAAAAGAAAAAGAAATCCAACCACCAATAAAAAGCACAAACCCAAAACCCAACCCCACAACCCACAGCACCAAAGCAGCGCAGTGCCTCACCCAGTAATGAGCATGGCCCCTGACAGCAGCACCCTGCCTTCAGGCCAAGACGTGAACATCCAGACCTGAAGCCTGAAATTGCAGCCTGTTTGTGTACCAGTGTGCATGACAGGCGTTGCGCTGCTGCAGTCTTCAGAGCGCGAGAAATGAGGCATTAAGGGGTTCTTCTGGCAGATTAGGGACTGCTCAGTTTGTGAGCTGCAAAGGTCACATCTGTAATGCTCCATATTACTTCAGCTTCAATGAAAGGCAGATTCATAGTGTTAGAAACCATATCTTCTATTTTACAAGAGTGCTGCTGAGTGAACCTTGGGGAGTTATTTAGGCCATTAGCTCAGAATCCACATCACTGAAAAGCAGAGAAAAGCATGGAAGCATAGAATCACAGAGGGGGTTTGGGCTGGAAGGGACCTTAAAGCTCACCCAGTTCCAACCCTCACCATGGGCAGGGACACCTCACACTAGACCAGATTGCTCAAAGCCCCATCCAACCCGGCCTTGAAAGCTGCCAAGGATACAGCAGCCACAGTTTCTC